AAAAAAAAAATGTTTCGGCTGGTAAGGAATAACTGACAGGATCAGGCTTGTTATTGTCGAAGATGTTGTGTATGTGGGGCTGCCTGACATGGTTGGTGTAGGTGTTGTGCTATTTGACGCGTCGGTGGTTGTGCTGCCCACAACCTCCGAGTCGGAGCCAGCGTCAGTGGAGCTTGCAGTGGTGCTTGTTGTAACTACAGTCGAACAGTCAACATTTCCCACACTGTTTCGTTTGACTTGCTTTTGGCATAGCCAGGATGAGGAGCTCCTTCAGGCAACGCGGAGTACTCACGGTCTCATCGTTCCACTCGCAGCATGGGTCGCCTAGCTCTTGGCCAATAGTCTGACCGTCGCTGTCTGAGTCTGCCTCACAAAGCTCCTTCGTCCACAGCTTCCCCAATGTGCTCGAAGTTTTCACCAAATTCATTATGAGATCCGCCGCCATCAACGTCGAAGTGTCCAAGTGCCGCTACGCCTTTAATTATTTCCCATTTGGCAGCCGAGCGACATAATTTGGGTATCCGTTCACGTCTCCAAGACCGAAGACGACAGGAGCGAGAGTGCTTTAGTGATTGTTGAGGAAACTGTGAGCTGGTAGATAGCCGGCAAGATACCAAGAGTTTTGTTTGTTGCGGTGCATGCCCCATAATGGGATCATGACAGCTTAAATGTCGTGCTCGACAGCTACGAAGATACTTATGGTGCCAATCGCAGACGTCGACAACTTCGATTATCCCGACTAGCAAACTCACTTGGTACGAGGCACGTACATACATACGTCTTTGAGACGGCTGCATTAACTGTATCCGGCCTTTTAGCGCTCACAGCAACCCAACCCGCTAGACTGCTGGAAACCCTTTCGGACCAAGAGTTTTGTAAAGCTGCGTAATTTAAGTGTAAACATTAACCGGAAAAATGCCTTGGTAACTTACCATAACCTTACCACGGTAAGATTCGAGCTCTAGCTTGAACTTCTACTTGTAATTCCGAAGTGCCTCACTATAATGAGGCTAATACTAAGCCGCGAATGCTACCAGAAGCGTCAACAAACCGGCCATACCGGAAATGGTAACACCACTGAAAGCTGCCGACGCGGTTGAAGTCGAGTTACTGGAATCGTTGGCACTGCTGCTCATACTTGCACTGGCCTCCTGAGAACTGCTGGTGGTCGTACTCGAGCACTCATAAGCTGGCCACATGGTCTCATTCGATGTGCTTGCATC